CTACAGTATTTTTACAGTCTTTATTTTACAGTTAAAATATATGTTTATCAAATAAAGTCTAATGTTACAACTAATCAGGGATCCCTTTAACCCTAAAAGTGGATGTAAACATCATGAAGATGTGTTTCATATCTCAGACTAGGAGCCACTGCTTGTTCAACTAAAGCTTTTTGGATCCTCTGGATACTCGGTTTTTCTAGAAAAACTACAGACTGCTGGAAACTGAAAGATGCCAAATTAGGGATGATTGTTTGGAAACAGCAGGTTACAGAAACAGTGAAGTGATTTATGATTGTAATTTCCAGAGATTTGGCTTTCTGAGCACTTGGTGCAGGCCTGAGGTCGTGGTAAAAACTGACTGTGTAAATAAATACTCAGCTCTAAATCTAAATGGGTTTCCTGTGGGTATAATTCAGACTCATACTATGAACACAACTAATCAGGCTGTGTCCAAAAAAATTCAGGGTCCTTTGAAGGACCTGGCCTACTCTAGGTGGGCTGGGTTCTTGGTCGATCATGAAGACTGGCAAAAAGTGGCTGTGAATGTGGATGGTCTAATCTTCCGCTTCCTTCCAAGAATAACAATTAAAATCATATCTATACAAATGATAAAAGCATTTAACAACACAACTGCCTGAAGCTTATACCACCAGATTTTTGTTTAAAACTATACTGCTTCTCTTGCTTCGTCCACCATTACATAAAATCTCCGGTTGGCCTGCAATACATTATGGAAAATGGTTGACCGAGAAGGATCCATCGGACCCGACCCTCAAATCAGGGAAAAAGGGAGGTTTTGTCGGCCGCATCAGAGGAGTCAGAGTAAAATCTGTCAGAGATAACGTCTTTAAAGTATTTGGGTTTGAAATGCAGTCCAGTGAAAAACCAAACAAACAAAAAAAAAATCCAGAAAGATCTGAACCAACATGGTGACAAAAATGTTAGGGTTTGTTTGAAAATTACAAAAGCCTGTTTCTGTCTTCTGTTAACCCTGTCTTGTTTTTGAGCCATAGTCTACTTTAGAATTATTGAATAAAACTTCTACTCAGGCTTTTATAAACACAACTGGTTTCATGTTTTACGTCGTGTCTACAGAAGCGGTTCACCTAAATACCTGTGGGACTGTTAACAGAAAACTACCACACCCTACTAAAAGACTTGTTTTCCAATTTGTTGCTTGAAGGTCCAAATGAGACAAACTAAAACCAAACAACATCTTGGAGGCTTTCCTTAGCTGAACTGATTAAAAACTTGTTTGTCCTGAGGCCACATCAGCAGCTAAAACCAGTGTAGCGTCAAAAAGAAATTGCCAGAGTCGAAACTTTAATTTGAGTGTAATTAAGTGTTCCAGGTCATGAAAAAAAAAAGGCATTTTTATTACTATTTGGCTGGTTTTCAATTTTACTCTTCCCACAGTTTTGGAAAAACCACACAAAGAAAACAACGTCCGTTTTATTGGGACTCACGTGTTCAGTTTTAGTAGCAGTAAATCAGGTGACATGAACAAAATTTCCAAAAACTGGAAGAATTTTCCACATGCACAACCGTTTTTTTGGTTTTGTTTTGTTTTTGTAAAGTGAAGGATAAAATCCTGCTGTACTCTGGAGATCTGCAGCTCAGACAATAGTCTTCATTCAGTTTGAACAGGTTGAAGAAAGTAGGATTTTTCATGAATTACCAGCAGTTAAAATGTTTTTGGAGATTTTAACCATGTGGTGTTTAGCTTTGAGTTGCATAAACTTTCAAAATGTTATAAACAAACCAATAAGTCCCTCAAACCTCACACTATGTATACTTTTAATTTGTCAAAAATGCAACTGATTTTATCTCTTTTCATTGAGTCTCTCACTGCTGATGAAACTTTCATTACCTCCGCCAAGGGCAAGGTAATGTTTTCAGTCGCATACGTCTGTCGGTCTGTCGTTCTGTCCGTGGACAACATTACTCAAAAACTTGTGGACGGATTGTCATGACATTTTTACCACATGTGTGTACTGGGCCAAGGAACACACCTTTAAATTTTGGTGATGTTCCGGATCACGATGCAGACACAGGAATTTGTTTTCTTTTAACAATCTGAGATCAACAAAGCTGTGATGCTTTCACAGGGCTTCTGTAAAAAACAGTGAGCTGGATTACACAGCACAGACTTCAAACTTTATAAAAGTAATGTTAAACCAGATTTAATGATGAATAAGTCTTGCCATAATGTGCACGTTTTTACACATTTGGTGCGCATTTACAGAACGTTTTGTGACCAGGAAGTGCGTGACTGCACCATGAAACCTATTTTTCCCATTTCCTCAAACACACCACATTTCTGAAACAACCAAATAAAACAGTTTCTTGCTACTAGGCTTGTAAACAGAGCCGGGCCTCAAAGTTTGGATACGGGGGAGCCAGGAAGCACTTTATAAACAGAGTCAAACCATTACAAACTCATACAAGGGGATAAAACAGACGTTTTACATGGTGAAATGTGACTGATGAAAACTTAGGAGCTTAATCCCACACCAGTTTGACGATGAATAATGTTGGGTGACGAGTCTGACTTATTTTTTTTATCACATTGGACTCCACCGAGAAGAAATCTCGTGCATACTGCTGCTTAAATGTTCACTACGTCAGAACTTATTCAGAAAATGTGTTTCGATCTCTGCTTTTGCGCATTAACTCTTACAGGATGGGGAAATTGGTCTTGGCTGAGGTTTGCACTCTCCGAGTGCTTCTAGTTTCCTATCAGATGCCCTCAGACCTGTACACTTTTGTTATATCTGAGCTCAAAATTTGCCTTTTAAACTTCTACATGTGTTAGTTTTCACCAGGTAACTGATGCTTGTTCTACATTTCTGTCTGTCTGTATTATTAAGAGTGCTGTCAGGGAGTGAGAGTCACACTGGTGACCATAATGTGCTACTGGAAGTCAGCTTTAAGGCACCTGTGACACGCATATCCTTCAAATATAAAAAGTCGAAGAAATCTTGACATAATACGCATGATTTTACCTGTTTTGTTCCATAACTGGCAGATTTTCTTTTGAATTTAGCTCAACCAAAGTGAAACAGGAAGTGACATCAAAGGGGAACTCTGGTCTTTGTTTATTGAAACAATATTTCTCTGAACTCTGACTCGTCTTTAGATAGTGACTCAAAATAATCTGAAGAAATATCAGATTCTTCTCTACAGTGTGTGTTGTCAGCCGTTGTTGCAATGCTCCATTCCTGTTTACACATTCCCCTTTGACATCACTTCCTGTTACTTCACATGCAAATATCTCAAGAATGGTTCATCATAGTGACCTGAATTTTATTTTGTGACATGTTATTGATGTTATCTTTCCAAAAATGCGTTCATATTTATTACAAAAATTTGATGTCACAGGAACTTTAATATTTATTTTGCTTTTTGTTTTCTTTACACTAAAAGTAAAAGTTTATACATGAAATCATCAGCATTTTTCAGCTTAGATTTTTACAAATTTATTTCCCTAATTATTGAAAAAACATAAAGGATGTTAGATTTTCTGGCAGTAGCTACATTGACACTCTTCCAGTGTCTTCATATATTCTGTTTTTTGTTTGTTTTTTGTAGTGCCTTGTTATTTTAGAGTTTTGGTTTTTACCTCTCTAACCTGTAAGTGTTGGTCCGTGTGTTAAATATCTAATTTGTCTCCTCTTCAGAGTTGTGTCTACGGTGAAAACCAGACCTCCATCCAGTGCACCACCCCTTCTCTGGCCAAACTGGCCCTCCAACCACCAGTGGTCACCAAGGTGGAGTTTGTCCTGGATGGCTACAAAACAAACCAATGGGACCTGATCTACGTGGAGGACCCTCTGTTCCAGGACCCCAAGCTTACATCCAAGGACAACAAGAGCATCGTGGAACTGAAAGTAAGGGTCACCCTCTTTTCTTTTTCTTATCGTAGGGAGGAGTGAACTCTGTTCAGAGGCTCATGGTCTCTAACCTCTGTAGCCTGAGAGCCTTTAGCTAGAGCAGGCTCTTTCAGCTGGCGACGCCTCTGTGCGCTGTGACAAACCTTGGGTTAACCAAGAGTTGTTTTTTTATGCTGCGTAAATTTCGTAAATTTTGTGACCGCAATTATTTTATGAAGCCAAAAGAAGACACAAGGAATAAATTGATATCAATATTTCAGTTTAAGAAAATCTTCGAAGAATTTTATCGTTTATCGCAATTCTTTCTGAGACAATATTTCGTTCAGCACAATGTGTTATTGTGACAGGCCTAGCTGTTTAAAATGAAAATTTTCACTTTTACCTGCTTTTTTTTTAATTCAGAGAAGTATCAGCGCTGCTCAACACAGATCAGTTACAGAGCTGTAACCATTGGTAAAGTTCTTGCTTTACATTGACCCTGCAGAAGAAATACTGGCAGAAACAGGTGCAAACAGCAGAAAATGGTCCTGTTTATGGATGCTGAGGAAGAAAACCTTGACTTATGAGCTGTGGCAAATTTAAATGTCAAAAGAGTTATAATTATTACTACAAGTTTGTATTCATCTGCCTTATTTAAACGTTTCAGAGTCAGGTTGGTGGGCTTCAGCTCATTCTGAACACATTCACACGTACAGCCGTTCAGAGTCCAGGTCAAGCTGGGAAGGAAACAATACAGAAAGAAAAACAGGAAGTGGAGTCTGTTTCCCATCGTTTACACCCTCCTCCCCAACTTCCCCGGCTCTCCTCCGCTGCCGTAGCTCTCTGCTCTCTGTTGACTTGTATTGTTCTGTCTGAGCTTAAACCTTCTGACATATTAATGCTGCCTTTCAAACACACCACCAGGCCCTGTTTTAGGAACACAATGAAATACGTGTTTCTCCTCCTCCTCCGTTTATTTGTATTTTTTTTTTTTGTCTGGCCTGCACTTGGACAGTGTCGCGGCAAAGATAGTCAGAAACATGGCGAAAAGGGTGTTTAAAAGACAAGTCTTGCGGGTATGATTTATAAAGTCATTTATTGATGGGCAGACATGAAACAGAAAGCAATCACGAAGTCTGTAAGATGTGGGCCCCGGCTGTCATCGGCCGGGCAAGCAATGTTATACTGTCAGTTATCATTATGTGATAGTGAATAACCAACCAGAATGTGCCTCGTTCTGGTACATGA